GCCAAAAGTTGCCATTTGATCACTTTGGGCCTGGTTTCGATTTCGGCCGAAACTGAAAAGTTAAATGAGGTTTTGGGTCATCTACCAGAAGTCAGACTGTCTGTCTGCCGCAATCCGATATTCATTATTGCTCGGCATCTTGCTGTCATCGTATTTACATGACTAATACTCAGCGAGAACTGCTCATATAACTGAATGATGACCTAATTTTCATTTATTGCCAAAATGTAAATTTCATTTAAGCCTAGGCAAATGTAAGTAGTTTTGTGGACGAAAATCTACGGGAATGGTAATTTTTTTTTTTTTTTTTCAAAAATAAAATTTGGGTACCCTAAGTTTATTCAATTTATTGACTTGTGATATTCATTTTGATTTTTCATTATCATGATCATCAATTTTGTCATAGGAAAATGTGGATAATATTGAATAACTCTAGGGAATGGTAATATTTTCCCTATTTTTTTTTTCTTTTATTGCCAAAATGTAAATTTCATTTAAGCCTAGGCAAATGTAAGTATTTTTGTGGACGAAAATCTACGGGAATGGTAATTTTTTTTTTTTTTTTTCAAAAATAAAATTTGGGTACCCTAAGTTTATTCAATTTATTGACTTGTGATATTCATTTTGATTTATCATTATCATGATCATCAATTTTGTCATAGGAAAATGTGGATAATATTGAATAACTCTAGGGAATGGTAATATTTTCCCTATTTTTTGATAAGTAAAAATTAGGGAAACTTAGGCTTTTTCAATGCATTCATTTCTTGAAATTCATCATAATCATGCTCATAAACATTGTTATTGACGATGTAACACGCTTGGGCATGTATCACGGGTTCGTATAATAATTATATAGTAGGACTACGCCAGACCTGTTTACTTTTATCATTTTGGCCCCCCAAAAAATACGATTTTGAGACGCCTTTTGCGATTCTCCATCAAGAGCCGTCAAAATAACAATTTTAAGAGCCGTCAAAATAACAATTTTAAGATCCGTCAAAATAACAATTGTAAGAGCCGTCAAAATAACAATTTTAAGAGCCGTCAAAATAACAATTTTAAGAGCCGTCAAAATAACAATTTTAAGATCCGTCAAAATAACAATTTTAAGATCCGTCAAAATAACAATTTTAAGATCCGTCAAAATAACAATTTTAAGAGCCGTCAAAATAACAATTTTAAGAGCCGTCAAAATAACAATTTTAAGAGCCGTCAAAATAACAATTTTAAGATCCGTCAAAATAACAATTTTAAGAGCCGTCAAAATAACAATTTTAAGGGACGTGGTTAAGAAAATATTGTCCCCCACCAATGGGGGTTAGGGGGGTTGGTCGCCGAACGAAATAATGACGTCACCAGCATGGAAAGACTAATGTATTGATACTAGGCTATATATTAATACAGCGATATCTTGCCAGCTATTTATGAAAACACAAAGCATTAGTGTGACGAAAACCGCGAAACATTGTGGTGATATTTTTATAGCCTTAATAACTGACATTTAGGTGACAAAGAATAATTATTGTAGATACATGTAGCGTTGTAATCATATTATAAAAGAAAAGGATCAAGGATGTGTATAGCATGTATTTTGCCCACCCACCCCCCTTTCCACCCCCCAGTCCAAATTTTCTCTTAACATACTACTTTAAAATATATTTTAACGAAATATAAATTACTTTTTAATTGAAATGATAAAAGCCAAAGTATTAATTAAATGTTTATTTATTAATATTCACGATGATCTCATTTTTTTATAAAAAGAATTTAAATATTGATACGTTTCCCCATCATCTTTCGATGTATGCAGAATATATGCGTGAATGAATTTCTAAATATCTAAATCTTTCGGCTTCGGTTTCGGCTGAAAGTCTCGTTAAGCTATAGGTTTTGGTTCCGGCCGAAAGTCATTTTTAACTCTCAGCCTGATTTTGGCCGAAATCATTAAATCACTTTCGGTCGGTCTATAATATTCTAAACTGCTCTGATGACACCATATTCTAGTGGAAACCTGCTCTGGTGGCACCGTGCTCTTTGGCTTAACTCCAATCTGCTACAAGACAGACTGGAGCGATCCCCGTCACATTAGCAATTTTCCCTTGAGTGTCACACCTCTACTGACGCTACTGATCGTTAATACATTTTAACACATTTTTTTTAAAAAAAGGGTTATTATTGATCCGTTTTCAAAAATAAGTCATTATATAACCCAAAAAATAAAGTCAAATTAAATTATACTGTTCAATTTGATTACCGGTACATTGATATGCTCACTTCCCTGGTGTTCATACCTTCCTACACCACCGATGCGACAGCCATAAGATTAGCACTCATACTTTTAAGTAATCATTTATTTAAATGCCATGAAATAACTGGGTTGGACATATTTCTTTTTTTAGTTGATGCGCAGTAAAAAAAAAAAAAATGTCCTCGTATTAATTGGACATGATGTTGTTGACCTTGGTCTGCGTGACCTCCAAAACACTCCAGGATGCCGTCAAGCCGTAAAGCTTGGTTGAAACACATTAGACAGCAACACATTTGGCGACACATTATTTTACGTTCTTGAAGTGTCAAGACACGGGCTGAGAGAATATCTCGGAGGTTTCTCTTCTCTCTTCGGGTTTGAATTGGTGCACACCAAAATTCTATTATTTTAACTTGACGTCTGGAGCAGGGGTTCTCATAAACCATAGATGATGGAAACCTGATGTCATAGGTATAAAAAAATATGTGACCCATCTCTCCTGCCGCCGACATAACAAGCAATTGGGTTTCTGGAATAGGTAGCCAAAGTCAAGTACTAAGAACGATAACTGAGCTCAAAGTGAAGAATAGAGTAACGGCTACTGTAAATAAAAGTGTGTGGGGGAGGGGGAGAGAGAGAGACTTTCACCATTTAAAAGAAAAATGGCGTAAATACCTAACTAAATATGCCTGTAACTTGCAGTGCAACCCTTGCTGAAATATAAAATACGTGATAGGGGTCCAGAGACAGTTGCACCTCCACAAAGCTGTAGTAAAGTTGTCCTTTCTTGATCAAACATGAATGTCATGCCAAGTGTTACGAGTGATGGTCACGCTGTAGATTACGTCAAAACGACGACTGTGGCTTTGCCGGGGATGCTAACCCGGACAGCCGGAAGTGCCGAGTATTACACCTACGGGAAAAAAACGGACCCGAGAAAATGAAAGGGAATTGGGCTCGGGGTGAGACCATATTTGATTTTCGTTATGTTTCTGGGTTAGGGCTATGCTACAAGTGTTAAGGTCTAAAATTTTGATCCATCCGTGATCGCTCATTGTTCTTTAGATGGATTTGTCCCTTTTCCCCATTGGATGGAACCGATTTCTTGTTTTCTATAGGCAAGTCATAAATTGTCATACCCGGACCTGGACGCGGATCCTCCGGGTACGGTCTCAAAGTTCCCGAACGTGGTGCCCGGACAAAAACCTGCACTTTAGTGAGTACCCCTAACTTAATCCCCACCCCCTTATGCCATTTACACACAAGCGCCCTCTTAAATTGATACATTATGATCACAAACAAGATATTGAGACCCCTAATATTTCTAAGAAGCTTTAAGAGCATTTAAGGCTATAGAGTGCATTCCGAGAATTGTACTCTGTCACCGCTAACCTCCGCAACATAAGAACTTCCACCTAGTTTGGTCGTTGGTTCATTCACCTTACCTGCAGTCACGTGATCTCATTAAAGTGAAATGTGTAACTTAATCGTGGCACGAGCTGGGCAGACAATTAATTCTGGAACACACACAAAAAAAACAAGCCAGCGTCTTTTTATGGGAAGTTGTTTAATCGCCACTGGCGAATTACGATTAAAGTATTTAAACATTTACACACACACACAAACACACACACACACACAAAATCAAATTGCTATTGATTTCTACCACACATGTGTTGAGCCTGAAATTTTAGTTTTATGAAAACAAAACATAAAACAATGTCGACGTTGGTCAAAATAGTCATAAACATAAAGACTAAAATGGGATTTAACATGTATTTGTGGTCTGTAACCCTAATGTCATTAAGTATTGCCCACTTCATGTTTACTGTAATGTTTCCACTTCAATATATTTAACCCTTTGTTGCCCGATCTGTTTGGTACAGCTGAAAAGATGCCACCGACCTTCGAAATCTTTTAGTGAAGTGAGAAATTAATTTTTTTTAAATATATATAATTCCTTTAACTGAAAGGTATAATCACTTCATTGATGTCCTTCTTTAGTTGATTATTATTTTTTAAATAAAGAAAACATTTTTTTAAATATGTATTAACTTTTAATGAATTGAAAATTCTAAAATAATGACCAGCAGACGATTTTTTTTCTTCAAAATTTGTTTGTTTGATTGTTGTTGTTTTTTTGCTTTTTTTTTTTTTTTTTTTTTTTTTTTTTTTTTTTTTTTTTTTTTTTTTTTAATGTTTTTTTTTTAAAGGTCTCAGTAAGGACATAATTCATTTAACAGGGGGGAAAAGCTCCGATAAAGCGGATGTACGACAATGTCATCTTTCACACAACAACCATTTTGTAATACCTCATGACTTTGTGACGTAACTGATCTGTCAGCCAATCCCAGCCCAGAAAAAAAAGAAAAAAAAAACCCGAAATCTGCTTCCCGATCTCAATCTCAGAATCGTATAAAACACGGAGGAGTTGTCCCAGCAGAGTTATCCAGCATATCCAACACCAAACAGAAACTTTCCTTCACGCGAGAAATAAGTTGACCATCATACGTGAGTATGTGAACACGCTTGTGGGGAAACGACCACAATGTTGTGAATGTTACTAAGTTTTATAAGTGGATCCAAAGATTTTTAAAAAAATTCTTAATTAACTTTAAAATTTGCTTATTCTGTTAATTTTAGTTGTATTAAAATTAAAGATTTGAAAGGAGAAAAAAAGTTATCTACTAAAAGGAATAGACCGATATTAAAACTTACTGAGAACCCCACAGGCACTGCACACGGCTATAATGTCACCAGATTTGATGTTTATAACTCCGTTCAGCTGAAACTGAAACAGATGTTTAAAAATGTGTTTAATAATGTTGAAATAGATAGGAAAAAAAAAAGGAAACTGATGTAGCAACTTTAAGTGGTAAGAAATAAATAGACTTACGGCATTAAAAATCTAAAGAAATAACCGAAACAATTAACCGATGCCATGTGAATTTTTAATTAATCTTATAGTTACTAATGAGTATTGTTAAAAAAAAAATTATGACGCTACTGGTTTAGTTTTTGTCCCTTTCTTTCCTTGAATCGTTTTTTTTTAAAGCAGTGCAGTTGTAATATTTACAACAAAAAAAAAGACTTACTGGTCTAGTGAAATTGTGTTCCTAGACTTAAATCACCTTAAATTTCTTTCTTTTTTTTTTTTTTGTCTGTCTGTATGTTAAATTGCAAATATTTAATATTTATTTTAAATTTGTTAGCTACTTCATGTGAAGCAAATCATTATTTGTTGGGTCTGTTTCTAATTCTTTCTGTTTCGTGCGCCAAGGGAGGCGATCAGGCCGAAACGTTGGTGTTCGGTCATTAGTCTGTTTTTTTGTTCAAACGTTCACATTATTTTGTTCAGAAAAAATCACTTTAGGCGAATGTTAATCATCATGTTGAGTTTGATTGAATTTTTAATTTCTTTTAAATTTCTTTATTTGTTCAATAGAATAAAATGGCGTTGATTGCTTTCTTGGCTTGTGTTCTTTTACTCGGTAAGTAGACAAACAAATGTTACAGGATTTTTATATAAATTTTATACTTATGAGTTCCTCAAAGTTTCTTGTATAATTTATTAATCATTTATTGTCTTTGGCGTTGACATATATAACAGTTGAAATATAATACTAAGAATTTATTTTAATTATGGATTTTCAAGATGAAATCATTGAATTAAAAGACAGATTTCTATTGTTCGATGGCCCGTGCCTAAGTCCACATTGTAATATTGAATTGAATATATTGAAATATTGTCCACACATTTTATCGGATGTATTGCACGCACATAGAAAAAAATAAAAGTTTATTTTAATACCACATGACAATTAATGTTTCGAATTTCTTCTAATTTCAGCTGTCCCATCCTTCCAGCAGCCACAGGGGGTAAAATGATCTATTTATGACCTTGTGTCAAATTAAGTTTGTATGTAGGTTTTCATGTGAATATAGTAAGGTAATTTATAAAAATGTAATTACTACAAAAAAAAAGACAACTAAAATATCTATATACTTTTTCAACAATATCCTAACACACAAACACACAAAATAAATGAATTACGTCTAAATTCTAATTTGGTCTATCCATGCCAGGAATGTTTTTGTTTTTTTGGAATGTCCTATACTGAAAGAATTTAGAAGGAAAAAATGAAAAGCCAACCACTTTCATTAATAAATACATTTGCTTAGGTAGTCAACTATCAGATAATTGATGTGCCATGTTTCGTTTTCCATTGATACAGGGCTATGGTGGCAACGGTCCAATTGGAGGAGGAAGAGGTAAGACCAAAGTTCATGTTCTTGTTGGCCTTTTAAACATTTCTCGCGTTTTAAAAAAAAAATTGAACATTCGCTTCTGGTCCTGGTTCTGGTCCTGGTTCTGGTCCTGGTTCTGGTCCTGGTTCTGGTCCTGGTTCTGGTCCTGGTTCTGGTCCTGGTTCTGGTCCTGGTTCTGGTCCTGGTTCTGGTCCTGGTTCTGGTCCTGGTCGTGGTAGGGTACGTTGCTGAATCCATGTACTGGCATATGTGCAACGGTTGGGGAAGCGATGCTGCTATCCTAACGGCTCCCAGCGGATGCCAGGGCTGCCTTGAAGCTGTCGATTGATGTCGAGTCCACGGTGGCATTGACCAGGTGGTTCCAAGCGATTAGTGTGCTTGGGAAGAGAGGTTGTTTATATTGGACTGTGTTACACCGAGGCACAGTGAAGCATTTTACTATTGTTCCGGATGTCATTGCTTATGGGGTTGTCAGAGGTGAAGTCAGTGTTAAGTGAGTGTTTGGCTCTGATTAAGCGACCTGGCTTCTGTGGGGGTGAGATACGTGTTTGATGGGATGTTATTTCTTTCTTTTTCTATGATTCTTTCATTCATTACATCTATTTTATTTCGTTTTCCACAAAAGACAACATATTTTAACTACAGTAACCATTGTTGTATCGTCTGTCCACCAATAGGCAACTGTGGCTACCTGGCCCCCAACTGCCGCGCCAGGCCTGGTGAGTACAACACTGTCTTCGCCTACACGTTCGACAACAAGACCCAGGCTTGCGTGAAAGTCAGCGTCTACAACACTTGCGCCAACGGCTACGGTGCTTCCAGCAACATTTTCCAGACCCTCCAGGCGTGCAACGTGGCTTGCGACTACAACAACAGGGGATATTAAGCGAAGATCCCCCCCCCCACATTTGATTTCAGCAAGATTTATGTTATAGCCTTCATGTTATCTTTTAATCAAAATAATATAAAAACATTCAAGAGATTTTTTCTTCAAATGGTCTGTTCAATAACAGCTGTGGTCAACAAAATTATCAAAAGAAAAATTTAAATTGAAACGAAAAAGAAATATTTCATGTTTTTAATTCATTGTTTATATTTTAATGTCAATCATGTAGAGCAGCTTATTTTTACTGAAAACCTGAAGCTTCAAAAATCCTGTTGTGGTTTAAATGTATGTTTTTTGTGCATGGTTAGTGCTTGCTATTTAATAATTTCAGAGTATGTGAGTTAGAATTCCCCTGTGAGTACTTTGACATCTGAATGCTGACATCTTAATTATTGTTAAGAAATCTCCAAATGGTGTTTGTAATAAAAAAAAAATACCCAGACAACTACATTGTCAAATAAACGGTAACAACTTATTCCAATTGTCAAGTTTTCATTTTCTTTGCTGTTATAATTATGTGTCGCAAAAGTATGGACAATTTCACTCACTGGATGACTGGATAAATGGGTTAGTGGGGGACATAACCACAGGTTAGTGGGGGACATAACCACAGATTAGAGTGGGACATAAACACAGTTAAGTGGGGTACATAACCACAAGTTAGTGTTGGACATAACCACAGGCTAGTGGAGGACTTAACCACAAATATAATGATAAAACACGTTTTGGTGGTAATTGTACAATTTTATTTAAAAAATAAAAATGAAGAACGAGAATCGAACTCACAAAAGGGGAATGTGGCCGAACAAACCTGAAAAAACAACAAAAGCACAGGCGGAGATACTCAATCAGCAGTTCCAGTCGGTCTTTGGTAACGGTAGAGAGTACTCTGAGACTGAGTTCCCTCTGAAGACCAAAATGATGAACAGAGCCTATCCTATCATGGGAGATATCCAGATATCAGAACAAGGTGTGTTTGCCCTCCTCAATACCATTAACCCTTACAAAGCATGTGGTCCTGACAACATTAAACCACGAGTGCTCAAAGAATTAGCCAAAGAAATCGCTCCTGCACTGACAATCCTCTTCCAATCGTCACTATGCACAGGAAATGTTCCAGCAGACTGGAGAACAGCGCATGTCACTCCAATTTACAAGAAAGGGGAGCATTCCGACCCTGCCAACTATCGTCCGATATCCCTCACTAGCGTCGTCTGCAAACTGTTGGAGCACATAATCGTAAGCTCTGTCATGAAGCATCTTGAAAGCCAAAATATACTCAATGACTGTCAACATGGCTTCCGAGTCAATAGGTCATGTGAGACCCAGCTTCTCGAATTTGTAGAAGACTTGATGACCAATCTGGAGAACCACAAGCAGACTGACGTGCTAGTAATGGACTTCGCAAAAGCATTTGACCGGGTGAATCATAGTTTGCTTCTACACAAACTCCAGATATATGGGATTCAAGGCACCACTAAAACATGGATCTCTAGCTTCCTCAGCCACCGACGCCAAGCAGTAGTGGTGGGCGGTACAAGCTCCTCCTTTGTCAATGTGAAGTCAGGGGTCCCCCAGGGATCAGTCCTGGGCCCCTGTTTGTTCCTAGCATACATTAATGACCTACCGGAGAAACTGACATCACAGGCAAGACTGTTTGCAGATGACACAGCAGTGTATAGGACGATCGCCAACAGATCTGACCAGGACCAGCTACAACAGGATCTCAATCTGTTAGCTGAGTGGGAGATGAGCTGGGACATGGAATTTCACCCTGCCAAGTGCCAGACACTATCAATCTCTAGAAGTTGTACTCCTCTACACTACCAATACAAACTGCACGGCCATATTCTTGAGCAAGTTTCCTCCGTAAAGTACCTGGGTGTTACCATTCAAAGAGAGGTCCGCTGGGACGAGCATATTAACAATGTATGTAACCAAGCAAACCAAGCCTTGGGGTTCTTAAGGCGAAATCTAAAGATTGGCAACTCCTGTGTGAAAGAAAGAGCATATAAAGCCTTTATCCGTCCGATTTTAGATTATGCATCTTCAGTCTGGGACCCATTTACCCAGAAGAGCATTGACAGGTTGGAGGCGGTCCAGCGACGAGCAGCACGCTTTGTCCTAAACCGCTACAGGAATACCTCTAGTGTTGGCAGCATGCTAGAAACACTAGGCTGGTCACCATTGGAGAAACGACGACGACAATCCAGGCTCTCCATGATGTACAAGATAAATAATGGGCTGGTCCACTGTTCCAGTATTAAACAGAAACTCGTCCCTCTCCCCCATAGACAGCGACGAGGCCATGACAGGCAATTCAGGCTCATACCAGCAAGAAGCCAGTATAGGAGCTGCTCATTCCTGCCCAAGACAATCAGGGACTGGAACCATCTTTCAAAAGGAACAGTTGAGGCGACAACACTAGACACATTTGTGTCTATTGCCTCAAGCCTTCAAACCCCTAGTGCATAATTTCCTCATCACCACCAGTAACAGCAACATTGCAAATCCCATCTACATGCATAGGAGCCAAAATGATCAATAAATTGATCGTGGGCCCTTAAGATATAGAAGAAGAAGAAGATGAAAAAGAAAAAAAAAAGAAAAATACTCTTTTAAAAACACACTTTTCCAAAAATTTACTAAAAAGTATTAAATAAAATCCCCCCCCCCCAAACCAAACTTCAGTACTGTTTCAGTAATGTGACTAAAAAAAGTGTGACGAGTCTCTGTACTCAGTGTTCTTTGTTTCAGCCCAAAGAGAGATCAGGAAGTGGGTCAAAGTTGAGATGCACGATTTGACCACACCCAAACTAACAAACGGACAGAGCCACCTGAGAAAAATTCATACGCCATCATTGTATTTTTAGTCCAAATGTGCGGGTCAAAGGTTGCATCCCAGTTTTGACCCTAATACATGATTTCCAATTGAGCTGAAACAACGAACACTGAGTTCACAGACACCCCAGTGCTCCATTCGGTTCCAGAGCTACATTGGATGTCAGTGCTGCATTGGGTTGCAGAGCTACATTGGATGTCAGTGCTGCATTGGGTTGCAGAGCTACATTGGATGTCAGTGCTGCATTGGGTTCCAGAGCTACATTGGATGTCAGTGCTGCCTTGGGTTCAAGTGATACACTGTGGGTTCTAGTGATACACTGGGGGGGGGGGCAGTGCTACATTGGATGTCAGTGCTGCATTGGGTTCTAGTGATACACTGAGGGGGGCAGTGCTACATTGGATGTCAGTGCTGCATTGTATTCTAGTGATACACTGAGGGGGGGCAGTGCTACATTGGATGTCAGTGCTGCATTGGGCGACAGTGCTTTATTGGATACCAGTGCTTTATTGGGTGGCAGTGCTACATTGAGTGCCAGTGCTACATTTGGGTGCCACCCAGTCTACCAAAGGAAGGGTTAGAAGAGACGGTTCAATTCATCTCAGAAGAAAAATTCGAAGCATTTGACCACAAAGGAAGCGCGGATCGGAGCACGATACTCCATAGACCAGTCTAGGGATAGCCTCAGGATTTGGGATTTATCTTCAAACAACCAGACAGAAACTAAGACAGAAACATGACAAAACATGAACAATCTATCCTCCCCAAAAAAAACACAATTGAACGACACTAATTTACAACACATAAATTTTTTTGTCAGGAACACTATGATACACACACATAAAACAATTGACACAGGGTACCAAGGGGGGCCACCACCACCACCAATTTTAAAACGAATCAACACACACATGAGGAATGACGTTTTCCAAGGAACACTACCCAACATTAATCATGAAACATTGTTCCAACATAAATGAGACAAGGGTGCGGGAATTAATTGACAAGACATACAAACAAAATTGCAAGCAATTATAAAATTATAGGACACGCTATTAGAAAGAAAAAGCAGAAAATGCATAAACTTGCATTATTAATAATAATAATAATAATAATTAGTAGTCTGATATAGCGCGGTACCCCCCCTCCCTCCACCCCCCCCCCCCCCCCCCACACACACCCCCCCC